ACTTCAATTATTTATTCGGAGTTATTCGTACCGATTCTTACTTAAAATGCAGCTAGTTAGTTCTTGATTTGGCCAACTTCCGGACCTGATGGCTCTGAGATCTTGGATACACGGTCCTCTCTTTCTATTTTATGGAAAAGGTAGGAAAAGTGGGGGTAACTAGCAGTCCAGAGGTATATAGTCAAAGGAGTTAACAAATTAAAATATTTCGGATTATTCAAGCTTTCTAACCTATTTTCATATATTGCATCTGCACTCGGAATTTTCAGGTACACGTTTAGAAATCGCAATTTTGGTCGCTGGTCTATAGAATAATAGAATCCGGTGACTCTAGATGTAATCGTCATTCTAACAAATTTGCCGACTGTTGCTGACTCACGAACGATAAAAAAATATTCGAGATGGTAAAGAGCAATTTTTTAAAAATTATAATTACTTGATTAATTAATGTATATACTATCATGATATTGTTTTATTGCGCATTGAAGGAATTTGTGCTATTTTATTAAGCAGATTTGCAATTATGATAGATAGCTTATCAGTTTGATTTATATGTTTGAAAAATAATGTTTTTAGCACGGCCGAGTGAAGGTGCGTACGACCGTGGAACAGGAGGAAATAAAGAAACGGGAAAGAGCGGTCAGAGTGGCCCAATATAAGACTGACATTGCTACAGTATACCAAAAGGTTTCAACTTGTTTTATCATGTATACGAACTAGCACTTGACTGCAATTTTCATACAAGATCATTATATCATTTACATTTCAGAGGAAAGATAAGAAATGGGACGATGAGTTGTTGTCAGTCACTAAGCGTATGCTGTTGAACAACTCGGACATTTATACACTATGGAATATCCGTCGTGAATTTTTCGAGAATAATGAATGGTAACACATTAACGAGGTATCTGATTAATGAGGTGAATGAGATTAACTTAATGATGAAATTGCAGGAATGAAGAAGATTATAAACAGCTGCTTGAGAATGAAATGAGCTTGACTGAACAGTGCCTCAGAGATAATCCCAAGTCCTATAGTGTGTGGCATCAAAGATGTTGGGTGATGGAACGAATGTCCGAACCAGATTGGAAGAAAGAATTGTCCCTGTGTGCAAAATGCCTAAATATAGATGAAAGAAATTGTTAGTATGTCATATTCATAATTATATGTATATTACAATGTATACTTATTATATAGCAACATCACTTCCAGATAGCAAGTAATTATTTGACATCAATGGTATTTTTTTTTGCCATCAAAATGATAAATAATGTCATCTTGCTATCCGAGCTCTTTCAACAAATTGACACATATTTGAAGATAAATTTCTTTTTACTGTAGTTCACTGCTGGGATTACAGAGAGTTTGTTGTGCAAAAAGCTGGAATCTCTAATGAGGAAGAGTTTGAATTTTCCACCACAAAAATATTGAATAATTTTTCAAATTACTCGTCTTGGCACTATAGAAGTCGAATATTAACTAAAATGTTTGGCACTACGTCTGAAGAAATACCAATTGTAGACGATAAATACAGAGAGGGTAAGTTGTTCATAATTTGTGCTCTGTATTTTATATCCTGATATAAAATAACGATATAATATTTTCCAGAGCTTGATCTAGTCATGAATGCAACATTTACTGACCCCAATGACACTAGCGCATGGTTCTATCAGAGATGGCTTCTAGATAAATGCATGACAACTTGTAGACTATGGCGTGCTCAAATTACGAAAGATGCCGCTATTGTTGTTATTGACAACAATATACTGATTAAATCAATTTTACTTTCATTAATTGTAAATGGCGAAACTATTGATGCACAATGGCAATTACATCCAGATGAAAAATTTGCCAAGCTACGAATCGCAGAGTTCGCAAGATCTTTAGAAGATTTGAATAGTGCCAAAGAAGTTGCTATAAAACTGCAAGACACGGTATATCAACTTTTGTATTCAGAGTTAGAAGGTGCATGGATTTACAAAGATAATTCAAGCTTGCACAAACAAAATAGCAACGATAAACAATTAAATAAACAATTAAAGAGCTATAACCAACTTTCCGAAATGGAACCAAATAACAAGTGGGCCTTACTAACTAGTACGTTACTGATGAAAAAGATCGATTTCAACAAATTTTATAATGATATATTAAATAATCTATCGGCGCTATCAAAAATCGACAGTCTTCGTAAGAATTATTACAAAGATTTGCGTAAGTATAATGTTTTTTATAATGAAATATTCATAATTTTTCTCTTTTTAGTAATATTATTAACTGTTTGATTTTTATTTTTGCTTATTATACACATGCTTCTATCAATATTATCTGTTCTTTTAGGAAGCAAACTCTTAGTGGAGTATAAACTACTTGAAATGTGGAAAGAAGAAAACGATTTAGAAATACAGTCAAAGATTGATTTATCAGGATTAGACTTGACGAAATTGCACAATAATCATTACTTTAGTTTTTTTAAAGAAGTGAATCTTGGTGCAAACCAGTTAGAGAATTCTTTATATCAGCTTTCCACATTACAACGATGCGTGAAACTGTCACTGTCCAGCAATGGCTTAACATCATTGAAACGTTTTCCTACTCTATATAATCTCGAAGTTCTCTCTTTGAGAAATAATAAGTTAGTGAGTACGAAAGAGATAGTCAACTTAATAAAACGGCACAAAAATTTAAGAAGACTAGATTTACGAAATAATCCAGTATGCCAAGAGATTGATATAGCTAAAATTCAAGACACAAGTTCTCACGTGGAAATATGTTTACAATAACGTTAAGAAATATACTTAATAGGCAACAGATTAAAACATATTTAATAATTGTAATTTTTTATGCAATCTATCTGCTGTTTTTACTGTTTTTTATCACAAGAATATTAAATCAAATTCAGATACGTTAGTATTGTGAATGATTTTATCACAGCAACTTAATTGTAAAACGTAATCTTTCAGTTTAGCGTCAGAAGAGGCTCCCATACATCACTACATTATTCTTTCTGTTTTATACATCTCTATAATAAACTCTATATAAATACAAAATAATAAAATTGCGATAAAAGATTATCATCGAAAATTTTTCTTAATCGAATCGCTACCGAAATCGAAGTTTATTAAATGCTTTCCGCATAAATAATACTTGGATCATATTTTTCTAACTTATACTACATGTTCTGATAGTAACCGGAATTCAATTCGGCCGGAGTTAAAGATGAATCACCTGTGCTGCATGGGATTATCGGAATATTTGATCCTTGAATCGTAAAACCGTGATAATCTTCCGAGCTAATTGGTTTCAAAACGGGTGGTAGATTTGCTTCGGGTGTAGGGCACTCATCTAATAAGCTGTCTGTCATATGTTTCTTAAAGAGTTGGGTATCGCCAGATGCAAGATCGGACTGAGTATCTAAGCTGATAAGACTAGTCTCGTCCTCGCCTTTGCTAACTTCCAGACTATCATCGCCAATAAAGGATGGAAAGTCAAATGTTGGAGACGGCGTTACGGAATCTTCTACTAGTGACGTTCTCATTAAATCACTCGACAAATCCATCATTACGCCGCCATTCATGTTATCGACAGAATGTGGATATATCTGTTAGAGAATTCAAAATACTTCATGAGACGTAATTCAAAGAGAAAAATTACATCTAATCTTCACCTATTGTATCTCATTCTTACCTGTGGAATAATCGGCGGCGGTAGCTGATAGCTCTCAATATCCTCGCTATCTAAATTAGTAGGTACCCTCTGACTATGCGATATTAGTAGCGGTGTTCTCTCAATTACTTTATCCACATCCTCTCTGATCTTCTCTTTAAAATCTATCATTTTATTTTTTAGTTCTTCCGCTTGTTTTATAATATCAGTATTTTTCGCTTGCAAGTCATCTAATAAAGTTATATCTTCGCACATGAAGTGTAAACTCTGCAATAATTAAACATAAATTAAACAAATTTAATATTATATAATAAATTACATCCATGAGTAATCATTCCTCAACACAAATATATATCACAAGTATTACTTCGCATATCATAAGAGCTGATTCCCATGTGTTAGCTGGAACACATTCCCCTGACATGTATGCATTAAAGTCCTTCTCAGCCATATTCAAGGATTCCGCGGTTAAGTTTTCGATAAATGACACTGCGCAACACTAATGTTACA